ATGATAACTATCAAAACGCCAGCCATTTGATATAAATAAAGTATTTGAGAATTGTGTGGGGTCTCAACAAGAATAAATGCAAGAAGTAGACATGAATACTGGCAGATCACTGTTGAATAAAGTCAAGGATTGTTGAGTCTACGCTGTCTCATGTATTTGCCAGAACGTGAGGCGGACCAATATGTATTTGAAATTTATAAATAATGAAACCAAAAAATAATAGACGCGATTCATATCTTTTATGCACACCAAATTTTAAATCTACATAGCCCTTTAAGATCATATTAGTCGGGGTTAAGAATTATCATTCCGCATTACGCTTGATCCAATTACGCTTTTGCATATTTTTAAAATGCCCCTCTTAAACATGGGCGAGTGGGTATAGGTAGAAGTGAGCCGCTAATAGCCTGTATATTGATTGGCGTAGAGCTACAATTTGCTCTACTTATAATTTATCAGTAATAATGAGCTTGCAATATGAATTTTGTCAAGTTGGACAAAATATAATTGCTAAGTTAGTCTTTACAAATCTGATACATACACCATTTCTATCAATTAAAATGACACGAGCGTATTAATATGAAGTTGTCAAGGTGATGACCTCCAACTCCTTTTCCATGCAGGTAAATCATTCGGCTATTTCTCAGTCACTTCAAACAAACGCTACTTTTATGCACAACCAGAGTGGAGACCCACTGCTCGTCTTAACCTCAACAGAGAGTTTGGAACTCTGATCATTAAAGGGGGTAGATTTGTCGATGGCAAAGTGCGTAACATGTAAGAAGCCTACTTGAATTAGCTTTGTTGAGGGAGCAGAACTCCATAGGAATCTACATGGAGACGTTGCTTACCTCAGTTATTGCCCCTACAATATCCCTCGTGTTAGCTCTTCAATCTCTTTCATATCCACAGATTGTGGCATTTAACCTGCATTCGCAAATTCCGCTCTATAATGCTACTCAGAGATCTTCAACATTACATCATTGGAGTCAATAGGAAAAGCAATAGAGCCAGTTTTGCTTTATGAAGCAATTAGTTTAAATGCAATTCAACAGTGTTGCATTGTCAACAGTCTTTAGTCATAGAATATTCATATCACTGGGAATACTACATTCTGCTTCTTACCTACACATTTAGACGTTTCTGTTGCTCAAATTGTGTGTGTGTACATTTATCCCAACTTCAGTGACCTCCCATCGCAGCTGGATACCACGGAATCGATATCACTTTTTAGTCGATTCGAAGTCTTGTCCTAGGTTTTGCTTCCAAGCTTGTTATTTTTAAAATGTCCTACAATCCATTGAAAGTATCATTATATACTCCTGGCCAAACTATCAAAGAATAATTCGACATAACTGGAAAAGGATAACGACACATTGGAACTGTTACTAGCTTGACTGTCTTCATTTTCCATCACTCTTGAAACATGAGCACGTTTTTGTCGCATCGTTTTGCTGGGTGACAGACTTTCTAACCCAAATAAGCTACAACGAAAACGGCCCAAATGACCTTCAAATCAAAACAATTTTGTTAAAAAGTGAGACTTTATTTCCGCCAGACACTGGCCACAACGCACCTAATTAACTGGTACTGATTCTGATTCTGATTCTTCACTCAGAGTATCGGTCAATTCATCAGTTTCAACTATATACACAGAACTATCGGACGTGCTCTCACTGGAGACAATGTCTTCATGATGCAAATGCAGTTTGCGGCGTATCAAGTGCCTATGTCGAAAGAAGGTGGCCAGCGCACCCTCAACTCCAGAAGAGGGAGTTTTAACGAATAGGAGGCAATTCCTATACATTTTTTCATATAAATGCAATATTGCTTGGGGGTTTTCGCAGCTCTCATCACCTGATATCATCCCTGGAAGACACTCTATCAACGCGTGGAAGTCTTCAAGTGCTTTTGGCAGCTTCCACACAACAAGCCGCATTTTCCTTCCTCTAAAAGTGGCATGCATTTAGGCAGATAAACGGGCTCTCACCTTACATTGTAGTAGTCGTATATAACGCCGGATTGCATTGTGGGCGTATTTTCGGCCTGCATGTATGGCAAGATTTGAAGAGCACAAGCCACGGGAGCAGAGTGAGGTGCTAACAACTTGATGTCATTTTCATAATCGAGAAGGAAGCCACATGTTTGCAAGTGAGTTTCATGTGCTTCATGCCAATAAAGTTGAGCAGCCTGATGACAGTCAAATTCAAAATCGTTTACATATTGATTGGCATCCTTTAGAAAGGCGATGAACTCTTCAGTTCTGCCGCAGAAGAATAGTGAAATTATGAAAGTGCACTTACTTATTCAGTAGTTCTGTATAACTCGAAGAGGAAGCACTCCATAGGTGCTCACTAGTTGTCATTTTCATAAAAGTGAACCACTCTCAACTATACGTCTAATAACTAACACAAACAGTGTTAAAATGAGATCAACTACCGCTACGAGTTTAAAGTTCAAATAAATTCGAGATTGTCAAATATCACCTCCATAAATTGGCATGAATGAGTATAAAGGCGTTCCTTACACGTAATGTGAACCCGCTTTGTGAAAGCGTCTTCCAACATCCTTCTATAGCAGAAAACGTATGAATAGGCTAAATTTGTTCATGCAATTGTGCAAATTAAATCGGCGTATACTCTGCTACCACAGAGAAAACATTTGCTGAAGCCCAACTAGAAAATTCCACAATTTCTTTTCAAATGATAGTTTTAAGAAACTTGCACCAAGTTCGGTATTAGCACTGAGTATGACATTTTGGCATTTACTAAAACTATTTAGATACCCAACTCCAACTTTGTGGGTGGATATGAAATGTGCAGTGATGAGTTGGAGCTTTGGTCTTGGTTATTTTCGTCCATACAAGAACGACCCCTTCATTAGAGCTTTGCTTAATCAGAGCATAGATGGAGTCGATGTACATGTGACTATATTAGTCCTAGAGTGTCTGCCAGTGTCAGTGTTGCGGGGTTCAAGTAGTTTTGGTGGTCTCGGTTATGTGTGTGTAGTCAGTTGTGGTGGGTTTCATTTGGCTGCTCTAATTTAATTGTGATCAGGTCTGCAGAGTCACTAATCACTAATTACGACGTGCGACAAGATCTGAAGACACTGCCGAACGCGGTTTTTGAACGGCGTAGTTACATTGGCCAAGTCGTAACGCAGGTGTACCAGGGTGCTCTGTCGGAAGCACAAACACCCCGGGGGGGGGGGGCGGAGGGATATTGCAGGGGAGTATGAGAATTTGTTTCGGAAATTCAGTGGCTGTGCAGGCAGTGAAATCGTGGTCGGTCGATCATTCTGTTGGTCCGATATTCTGATTTCAAATCAGGAGGTGCAGTGGAATTAGGAATGGATTAAAACAGTAGTGAAATGGAATGTTGGATTCGACTTTCATTGTGAAGCTGAATACCCCAAGCGTTGAGTTGTTCAGCTCTTCAATAGGGAGAGCGAGTTGTGCTCATACCAACAGAAAATAATTGATATTTTTGCTTCCCGATGAAAATGTCATGTCTTTCAATCCTGCTAGTGTTCCACATTGTTCCATGGTCTCGATCTACCCAATTCTGTAGAACAGGGGTGGTTGCCTTAAATTAAAATTAGCTCATAATTTGAAATACGAAAAAAATTTTAAGCCGCCTTGCTCATCAGACTTTTATCATGTATTCAATAGACAGATTTCACTATTTAAATGAATGATAAAGTCAATGAAGCAAGGGTTCTCTCAACTCAACGAAAGAAATGCAAAGACTATTGTCTGCGTTTGTTAGGTGATACTTACTTGAGTAAATGAACGTTTCTCCGAGATTGAATTTTTATACGTCTTCCAATTTCCTAAATAAATAAATAAATATATATATATATATATATATATATATATATATATATGAATCCTTCTGTAATATGAAAGTGTCTAATTCGAATTGGTGCATATTAATCTAATTTCAACTCACTCATCAAATGTACCAATGAAACATTAAATTTTAAATTTAAATACCATTACAAGTAAATCATTGGGAACTACATTTTAAACATTACTAAGTAGTACGAAGCGTGAAATAAATCGATAATCAATTATTGGTAGACGTGATGGGATTGATTGACATCAGTTGGTGCAATTACTACTTTTCAGGAAATAAGCGATAAGCCTAATTTAATGAAAAATACTCCACTATTCAACCCCCCTCCACCCCTTAGACTAAATTAACCCAGCAACCTTTGAATATGTCAGTGAGCACGCTTTGCTAACAAAAATTTGAACCACTTGCATCCAAATGAACTGGTGGGGTGTTAGCGATGTGGATGGTGAAGAAAATATACTCAACCCATCGATAATTTTAAGTCACGAACTCTGTTTATCCAGTGCGCGAATAAGTTGCTAATCGCAATTGCTGAAATTACCAAGTTTCGGTAAATAATTGACAAGATGCTGCTGTTAAAGGGATGCTCCACACTAAACGACCACCTCCTCTTAGACACAAGCAACAAAAATACGCCTTATGGACACAGTTGTATAGCAAACGCTGTGACATCCAGTGCTCATTGCTATCAGAATGACTTCACTCGCTTACTTGCTTATTTGACTATTTGTAGGTTGATACATCCACAATTTCTAGGCAATCTTTCCAATCCTATTTACTTTTTAATTGCAAGCAAACCATTCTTTAGGAGATTGTACAAAAAGGAGTGGAAAACATTAGCAAATAAAATAGATTTCATGACGTTTAAATAGTTCGCGCAAAAAACGAGAACCTTGTCTTCAACAAATCACGATGAGACACCTAGAGAAACAATTGGATTGGGGGTTAGCGGTCATTGAATGGCACGAATTGACTCAGCTGCAGAATTTGTAATTAGACGCTTAATTCAATTGAATTATAACTCCTCTGGTTTAGCACTCGCTAAATTCTTACCACTTTTATGTAGTTATATTCGAAACTTTAAGTTGACACATCTCACAGCTATTTACAGATGTTTACGCGCGTTTAAATCGGGTTTAATTCGCTGGATAAGCTCTAATTCATTTATATTTCATTTGAATTAAAATTTAAATTTATATGAGTAGATTCCATTGAAAAATGCCGTAATTTTACAACTTTGTTTTATTTTTTAAATCCACTGGGAAACATTTGATTTCTTAAGTGGGGTATTCTGGTATAGAGACATGAATTTTAGGCCATTTTTAAAGTTTTGTAAAAAAGCAAGCTATGTTTTTATCATCAATTTTTTATACATTATTTATTCACATTTAAAGCAAACAAAAAATTTAAAATTCCGATAGTTATCAGCTGATGAAGTGGGACGTCTCAAAAACATGGTGCGTGACCATACCCACGATGTTAACAATCCTAGCAATCTGAAATCAAAAATAAAAAATATCAATCTATAATGATGTCGCTATGTCCGGAACTACGAACAAGTTTTAGGTATATTTTTTATAAAATGGCGACTGTCTAAAGGAAAAAACCATTTTTGTACCACTATTTTGAATATTCTTCGATTTTTAAAAATAGTAAAAATGAAATTTGGGAACGGCCGTAGTTCCGGACATAGACAAGTCCCTAAAAAAGATTATCTTAAAAATTCAAGTAAATCAGTTCGGCAGAATCTGAGAAATCGTGGGTAACAGATTCAAAAAACAGTTTTGAGAAAAACGCGTTTAAAATTTCAGGTAAATTTTGCAGTCTAAGTCATAAAATTATATTTTTAACTTACATTTATTCAATCTGCCATTCCTGCTGCATACATGGGACCTTCATCGACTTCGAAAAAATGATTTTCGGCGTTTCAGTTTTTTATTCGAGCAGTTCTGGCCTCCTTTGATGCGTTTTAGACTCGTATCTCGGAGCGGCCATTCCGGGCGTTGTCTCGTCTGATAGCAAATGCATGAGCTTCTGGACCAATTTTCACTCTCATCATCGACATCATCTTCAATATCGGTATAAAGCCCTTATTAAAAATACACACAACAATAAATTTTGCAATTTCAACGATCTGAGACACGGAATGGATATGCTTTGGAGCGAAAGGCCATATCAGCGAGTTTAGAGACTCATTATTATTTTGAGTTTCTGAACCCAAACATCGAGTCACTAACTCTTCTGATGATAAACTTCGAAGGATTTGTCAACGAATGGACATGATGGAATGTAGCGTAGACTATCGAAACTGCATTGAGGACATGAGGAATGAAGTTAGACTATTGCAACTGCATTGTAATGCAATTTTGAACCCGAGTCCGCGTTGAGCCGTTCTTGAAAATATAATCTCGTTGTTGTATGTAGTACGCGAAACAAATGAGGAAAATGTTGAAAAGACCGTTTTGGCGTTCCGTAAATCTATTGCCGTAAAAAATAAATACATATATATTTATAAAATGTAGATAGATAGGTATAACGGAACAAAAGAGCTCACTAAGAAATATAGATTCAGGTAGCCGGAGAAGCCATTTTGTCTTTTCTTTGATTAGTAGCAGCCCAACCGGTTTGGATGCCTCCACAGCAAAATACTTATATTTCCGAAAATAATTTTAATTTTGAAAATTCCTCCCGTAGACATAGTTTTAAATAGTTAAACTATGAAAATATGCAATAAAAATTCGAAAATGTTTTTCTAGACCAGAATACCCCCTTTAAAGATATGCTTAACTTCCAGATGAGCGATACTTTGCATTGGATGAAACTAACGGCAAACAGTACTTCCTCTTTGAGCCAAAAAACGACTTCATCGGTTATCATCTGTAAGTTGATGATATTCTTAGCTTCCGCAATCTGTATTCTGTTTAACATCCCCGCCCCTCCTCCCTCCTGATTTCTTCTTTTAGAAATAAGTATTTTTCACACGAAAATATATCCAGTGATTCGGAGATTCAATTCGCCTTCATCGAGCATGGTGGAATGCTTCTGAGTCAAATACCACATTACAAGGCATTCTATTGGATTGATGCTCATTACGAGGAGGTCATGGCGGCTGTGCCTATGAAGTGCGCGGAATTGGAAATGTTTCAGCTGGAGCCCTATGGAACATTTGTGAGGCGTAAAGATGGATGTGAGTTAAGTAGTTCGCATGTCATTTGATTAACCATCACTTACCTATCGCTTTTGACACTGTAGATATTGGAATCGAAGAGACGCATCGAAATAGGCGGAAACATGGCGATTCGAATTAGTCTACTGGAAGAGATATATGACTTGAGTTGTACATTTTAACACCTACTTCCTACTATTCTATTATCCACTACGCAAGATGTGATTAGAGTAAAATTCCAGAATTTACTGATGCAAAATCCAAATTGACTTATGCAATTTTGGGAGTCATTTCAAGAGGAGAAGGTTTGGTGTATGAAATGAAATTCAGGGGAGGTGAGGAGGGTTGGACAAAACTCGGAGTAAATGGAGATCACAAAGAGAAGCGTTACAACCAGGGCAAAGAAAGATGAAAGAAGCCAAAAGTTCGATAGGTTTAGGAGAAATTCAGAGCCAACCTAAAGTATAAGCTTGAAGTACAATCCACCTCCTGATGTTCCAGCCCTTCATAAGTTTATGATTTCACCTTTTGCCAATGGATCTGTTTAAGCCAAGCTTTAACGAATCCAATCACAATCAATCCCCTTTCTACCGAAATTCAGTAGATAAACCCAGTTGTTCTGCTGAATTTGGGAAAAATTGGAACTGGCAGTTTAGAAGCATGGGGTGGTTGGAAGTGTAAGCAGATGTTTCTAAAGGTAGTTCAGTTGCGAGGACATTTTGGAACCAAAAGAAAACTCCGATCTTGGTCCACAACGACGTTATATATGCATTTTTGCATTAAAACAGAGTAATCTATTGATTACATAGTGCTGATAGGACACGAATTCGTCTCCGCAAACACAGCAGCATATTGGGTTTCAACTGGATCAATTAATGAGAATTCCGAATTGGAAAAGTGGTTCTTGCAAGTTATAATGGAACTTGCCCATTAGATACTAAATCACCTGCCTTTAAGGAACTGATAACTCTCGGCACTTCCCTCTTGTTATTATTCGACTTCCAATAATGAAAATGATACGATGGAATTTTTGAATTTAATCGACTTGTCTTTAGATATTCACGTGTATCATGAGCTTCTGATTACCAATGACAAAGCTTCATACCAATTTCGTAACTCTTTTGCTTTTGAAACAGCGATATGTTAAAATTTAAGTCCAATGCATTCTGTTTGTGATTTGCCTCTTCGCTATGGAGTGTTTTGAAATAGGTACAGACGCTGGGCATCTTTGTCGATGCTACTTCCTTCCATCCACCATTAAACCTCCAAAATTGTCAAACAGCTCTGATATTTGATCAAAATCGATCATTATTAAGTGACATTTTGAAGGTGGAACTGAAACAGGTTCTCCTTTCCAGCGATTGATAACAATATTATAATTGGCCTACTTTAGGTCAGTAAATAGTGACCCCCACTCGTATTTTCAATGTTCCTAACAGGAAAGAGGAAGATGGAAGCAACATGTAGATCTTCTTGTCTTGTTCCATTTCACCACGCAACGAGTTAGGAGGGCTGAAGTATTTAGATGTGGATGGTTTGCTGATGAAATTAGCAGCTTCAAGAAAGCCATAGAAGTGAAAATTAGGTCTATGGGACTAATGAAGTGGAAATCATACTTTGTCTACGAGAAAGAATGAACCACTTCAGATCCCCTCTTGAAATAGGAGTATTTTTGAGATGATGAGATCGGTCTACTCTGCTTTATAATTTTCGGACGTGTTGAAAGTGAGCTAATGAAGAAAAACATCTTAAATCACCTCAAACTCTGTCAAATAGTGTACTTTTATTTCTTGTTCTTTATTTCTTTTGCGTCAGAAGTTCCCTTATTTGAACTCTAATAATTGGTTGACTTTAAATGACCTTTTATCCGAGAAAAGTATTTCTCAGTGCTTCAATGGTATTGGTTAACTTTGATATCCCTCTCTATTTAATCCATTGTATCAGCAGTTAGTCATTAAATACAACTTCACGTTCTAACAAAGTTTATTGCACTCACTAGATTAAGTGCTAGGCTGGATTGTGTTCTTCAAGCCCGAGAGATTTGTGAAACTCAGTGTTGTCAATTCCATACCTCTTCGCCAATTCTGATCTGTCTGGTTACGATCTTGGAATGTTTGGAGATCAAAGTTTTATCTCACAGTCGTCCTTTAACCTTACCCTGAGGTGTTGCCCGAGTTCTGTGTACTGCCGTCTAACGCAGGGCCTAATATCGGCTGATCCCGTTTGTTATTCCAATACTTCATTTCAACACCAACGTCTAAAGTAGGTCTAAGACCCTCAATAAAAANAAAAACTTTTGTGACAAACATCAACTCACCATCGGAAGAAAACACATTCGAGAATCCTGTCCGTTTGGAAAAATTCAGCCCAGGTGATTGAAAGAGTGTTCTTTGAATTATATGCAAACTACTTACCATCCACCTTGTTGGGCTTTAAATTTTGCCGAAGGCAGTTGTGCTAATCGGAAAGGACTCCAATAGTCATTGCTTTACTTTGCTCATCATGTTCTTCTCCATTGAAAGACCATTCACGTGGATCAATTCTGTGAGAAGTTGATCTCTGTGAAATCCGTATGGTGAGAAGAAGCGATGGTCTTGGTTTAGATCAATGTAACTGATTGAGGGGTGTGCAATAGACTTACCTCCACGTGGTGCACCCGGGCAACGTATTGTCATACGGCAAAAAAGTCTATTATTCGGCAGCTGACTTCTGACCTCAAACTAGGATGACCCCAATGTATGTCAAATTCGACCACTTCAACAGTACTCATATTGCCTTTTCTCTGTATTTGTGTCCATTTATCTCTCTACCCCTGTGAATCACTCTTCTTTCCTCCTCTCGAAAACAAATCAGCCGAAATAACGGAAATGTCTTTGCTATTGTAGCCCAACAGAAAATGACTTTACGGAAGTACTACATCTATTCTACTGACACGATAAACTGTAGGTTAACTCTATTGAGGGTCAACAAGTTGTTGCCACTACGGTTACGCAGACGAGTAATGAATCGACTACGTTGAGGATTCGGGAGGTTGTGAGAGAGATGAGAAGGCGTTGATGTGAAAGGAAGTCGTATGAGCATCTGAAAAACGATAAAAGCTGTGAGATTCTCGGAGTTCAGGTAAAAGAATTACGGAAACAGAGCAATTATATATTAAAAAATGTGAATGGAGAAGCCAGTCTTGAGAAGAAAGTTACGGGCTTAAGAAGAAGGCAAATCAGGCGGAGAATCACCAACACGTCACAAAGTCCTTGTCTTAGGCACATCTAAATGCACACATAATGGAAGCAAGAAAAACGTTCTTACACCCGTCTTTTCGGCGAATTATGTAGCCTTTTAAGGGCACAGCAAAAATTTGCAACTCCTTGCATTTGCCCAACACAGCGTCAAAAATTTCGCTGTCTTCCACTTCCATGTCTCCGAAGTAGCCCGCTCTCCGCAACCGATCGATGATTATACCACCTCTGTCCTCTCTTATGTGCCTTTGGATAAATTTGTCGGAATTCAAATTGTCAATGGAGAAGGTTTCATTTCTAAGGCGCAGTTATAAAGAGAAAAATCTCAGAATTTACAAAATTGTGGCAATGCGGGCCAATTTCCTTTCCACGTCGGGCGTGTTCATGAGTAACAGGCCTTGATCTGGAATCACGGGAATCAATTGCCTTTGTTTGGGCATTTTGTTCCTTCTCAAATAATGCTGTGGAAATTAGAATCGAAGACAATGATAAGTTGTGATATCTGATGAGGTTAGCTGTCAAACCGGGTTTGTGCTCATTCTGATATCACCTGCTTTTATACCTCTCCCAACCAATGGAAACACGACCGAAAACTCTCCTCGACCCACCTTCATTTTTCAAGGTAAAACTTCCTTCAATCATGCGAGACTTTGGAGTATAAATTCGAAAAAAAATTTCTCAAATATAATTTTTTCACTATTTACTCCTCTTTTGTGTTTGTTTATTTATTACAAAGGCATGGGTAATTTATTATGAAATAATCACTTAATATTTAATAATTTCTACTGCTAACAAACGGTCGGGATTAAAATTGTTTCTTATTCTTTAAGGTTGGGATGTTATAATTATTGGGAAAAATCTCTAAATTTGGACTTTGAAATATTTGCTTGTAAAATAAAGATCTATGAATGCTCATATGTTATCTGCTATCAAATTTTGAGGTTTCCACATTCTGTACTCTCAAATTTTCTTATATTTTAATTTTATTTTGTAATAAACTATGTACAAATTTGGCTTTTTATGGGTTTTAATACCCGCACGACCACGATAAAAGGAACTGAAAAAGCAAATTTTACAGAAGTTGGAAGCCAATTATTAAATATTTCGCTTTATTTTACGTCAGTGACGTTTACCTGAATGAATGTGATTAATTATGACGCTGGTGTGGTAATTGACAGATAAAATGATCTAGATTCATATTGAGAACCATATTAATGAAAATCAGATTTTGTGGATTTAGTGCAAACTCCACCACCTGGACACGGTTTACGCTTACTACTCCATAAATTAATTAAAAAATAATTTATTAAAATAATTGTTGATAGGTCGTAAGTTTTCGTTTACAATCGTCATTTCCCCTGCATTGATCCATCTGATATTGTAATCGTGTGCTCAAACAGGGATAAACACACACACACACGCACACACATATATATATATATCATCGCCCGTGGAGTTGAGACCACTTCAATTATTGGCACACCAGACACCTAATCGATTATTATTTATTCAAATCTATCACAATAAATTTATTCTATTTGTTTACTATTTTTAGTACAGTACTTGACTTTATTACATCACATTTGCCCATAAATAACTGAAGAATTCCGATTTCGATAACATGGCTACCTAATTCTGTATTTTAGTATATGGATAATTTGAAAAATATTAGTCCATTATTTAGCTTGCGTTGTCTTTGACAGAGCTGACAGGTAGCATTTGTCTTGAATGTAATCGAAGCATCGTACTTCAGCAATATTGACGCTGGCATAATGTCTAATAGAGGGTCTCGAGCCTTTTAATTCCCTGAGTAGTCCGAATCTCCTTCTACTTCCACATCTTTGTCTAAGCATCAGGTTTGAATTTACGAGTGATTGAGACATCTGCCAGGTTAACATTTATTCCTTAAATGGTAAATGAGTTCCTTCGCCATGTTGTTGCAACGTGGAAATGTTAGGTTGTCATGTGAATTGAATATTGGAAGTAACCAATTTGTCGTCTCAGAACGGGGTAAATAATCAAAACCAAAAAATAATGGTTTTGTTCTCAAAGGTTTGATCGGCTTAAATCTGTGGCCTCTTTGAAGCTTCTGTAGAAATCAAATTAATTTTCACTTGGTGCGAATTAGGAAGGGATTTTTCATGGTGTATAATTATATAAAAAACATAATAAAATAACATATAATTAATAGTCTACTATTAGTTAAGATTTGGGAATGAGTAGTGTGGAATAAATTAAATATTTTCGAACAAATAATTGCTTAATTACATAAACGGTGTCATGTGACCTGTCTTATGACGCTTCAAATGGGTGTCCAAGGTTAGCAGCCAATCCACGTGGTCCATCAGGTGACTCGATCCTTCTGCAAGTCCTTCTGTGTCTGCAACACATCACAACCTATACCCTTCCACTCCATGAGATATAAGATGTCCAGAGGGGGAGCATTATAACTCTCTTAAAGAACCATATCCAATGAGATATTTAATTCGAAATTAAATAATTTGCCACATAAAAATATTGTCAGAAACTTTGAATATGAGAGAGAAAGGAAGTCAGATTAAAGACAGTTTATTATTGAAATGTGGTTGATGCTTCTGAGATATTTAATCAATTAGACTGTGTTTACGAGGTTATTTCATTTTATGCTTCATTGATTATTTTTAAACGTAGCGGAATACTTTTGTGAGTTTGGGGGTGGGGTTGACTGTGTTGCAGGTTTTATGCATGGGATAATTTATTATGATTATATAACTCTCAACATAATTGCTGAGTACTTGGAAATTATTTAATGACAGAATTCGCAGCAACCTTAATTTAGGAAAACTTGTATCGGATTGCTACCTAGATAAGCTTTATATGACTTAAAAAACTGTAACAAAATCTTCTATATCTGGCTAGACTCCAAGAATTGACTAGGCTACAGACCATCTCTAGAGGAAGCAGATGTATCGCACTAAACAAGTTTATTTGGGAAGTACATCTAATCAAAATTGCAGATTTGCTAGAACAAATGAAGCCTTCCAATTGGCCATTAGTTGTGCGCGCATGCGATTAGACGTATTAGGGGTTGACGTGTCCCACAAACGAACAATAATTCGAATGTAAGCAAAGTTTGCTCCATATAAATGAACCAATGTGCAATTTGATAAGTCCTTCAAATATTGACAAATTATCAATTAGTATTAATGCAATCTTTTTGATTCTTTAGTGAATTACACTAATACTCCGAGCGCAAAGAGAACTTATGATCCCTTGTCAAATTAATAGTTTAATTTTCTCACCTAGGATTGGATGAAATTGTAGGCACCGAATATTGTCTACTAAGATATCTTTTTCTCAATCCGATTTGAATAGAACACATGTGGTTGGGCAATTTTTTGATTTTAGAAATTAGGTTTACCAACGGTTTGACATTTCAGCGTGAATTTACAGTTATATAACACCATGAAGAGTAATTAATAAAGTGATAAACCTGAAAAATCTTTATTTAAAATTTCTTGAACAACAATCTCTTATTTTATTCGGTAACATAAATTCAGGTGACGAGTCATGAAATTCAATCATTGGAACCTCAAGATGCACATTCAACAAACGCCGTACAACATGAATGAAGACTCTCCGTTACCTTGAAGTTATACCCTGCTTCTTATGAAACCATTCCAAACAACCTCCTTTTTGTTGGGATATCTGTTAGCAAATTCATTAGCTTCACATACTATTTACTATTTGAAGTCTCCTTTCAATTGGTCACGTGACAAAATTATGGAAGAATGCTATGGCAATAATAATACAGACCATTAAGACTGCTATGTGTCAAATTAGTAAGACAACCCTTTCACATTAATTCAACAAATTTTAAAAAAATCTCCCTTAGAATGGTTGCTATTCAAGCACAATGACTGACAATAACAAGCACCTTGTCATTACTTTTCAAGGCTATAACTGATTGTTCATTAAATTAACAAATGTGTCCCTCCTTTTCTGAGGTGATAAATTGAAATATTTATAAAATAGGCATGTTTTTAATTGAATAATGCTAATCAAATTTATGTGGCAAATTTTTTTACTTATTTAAATATATTTTAGAGGATTCATTTTATTTAATGCCTTACACGAAATATTTCAAAATGTACGAATCCGTCCCATGGAGATCATCATTGATATCGAAAGTTGCAATAAAATCAAAGGTATAATAAAGGTAATAATTTTAATAAAAAAAATAGAGTATTTTTTAAGATCTATCATATATCAGGTGACTTTAACCCGTGATTTTGCGGAAAATCCAACAAGAGAATAGTAATCAAATCAATTCTGTATCATTGAAGTGTTTACATCCTTCCTACTGTTAATAAAAATGAGCGATTATTTTTGCAAAGTAAAAACCTAAATAAATTGTAAGAACAAAAAAAAGCAAGAACATCTTTACTTTCTTTTAACTATTTAAATTTGTACATGTGTGTTTATGTCGACTTCTTGGCTAAGATTGCGTTTGCCCAATATTTGATCCTACATATCATGAGCACCATAGCGATGAGGCTTCTGCATAAAGCACAATATTCCATCTTAGTACGAAAGGATGACAAGTACTGGGGTTCTGGCTTCGAGAAACATGTCGGTATCATGCCCACGAGATCAATAAAAATGAATACATGCATTTCAATACAAGAATGGACTACATTGGCTACGTTCTGTAAGTTGTCTCTATATATTTCACTAAATGGACTTTCCTAACTTATCCTAGAGCTTATTTGTTCGGTGATGAAAACATATCCACAGATGAGAAGATTGTGAGTTTCATGACTGAGCACGAGGCTGTACCAGTAAAGTCGCTGCCTGAGCACCCAAAATTAAAGGCGATTAATGCGTATCCCTGGGAAATCGCAAATGCAGTTAAATTAATAGTTCCACAATTGCATATCTTTGAAATGAAAGGCGTTGGTGAATTGATAAAAAGAAGTAAGTGATGTTGCAATTGTTTTAAGACGCGTAATATTCTCTTCACCTCATCAACAAATTTTTCGCCCACTTTAGTTCCCAGTGTTCTACCCAAGTCCGCGTACCCAGA